ACATCTCAACGAGTAGATCATGCCATTGATCTTGCGCATCGCATCGGCTTGTCAAGGCTCTCATCCCAGTCTCGGTTCTTTCCATACGATCCTGGAGTCGGAGGATAGCCATTTCCGTTTCGATCTGTCGCAACGTATCTGGACAAGTTTGCTGTGAACGTCTTCCTTCCGGGCTGGGCGCATTGCTGCGCTCGAAGTGGCGTGACGAACCAGAAGCGTTCGTCTCAGTCATCGACTCGTGCGGAAGTCTGATCTCAGCTCGATGCTGACCAACAGGTGCCCGATCGCTCCTTGCATGGTTTGCAATCCCTTCATTGTGACCTTCCCGCCACAAACTCGCCATGTCTTCCCAGTCCCCCTCGAAGTAGATCCCAGACGATTCGTTGTCGTCCGTCACGCCCACAGCATCCATGACTGCTTGCAGAATGGCATCCAGGCCCTGTAACTCCTCATGTAGATGTTCAAGACGGAGCCCCATTTCCGTTATCACCTCGCGCTCGGCATCGTCTCGGCCGTCCAAGCAGTCCTTCAGCGTTGCGTTATTCTCTCGCAACATGGCATTCTCCTCTCTCAACAACCTGATCTCTTGATCAGCCAAGCCGAGCTCTCCTTCGAGCACCTCTATCTGGGAAAAAGCGAGGGCAAGATCGTGGCTTAGGTGTCGAATTTCTGTTTCGACAATATGTGGATGAACAGTAGAGTGCGCTTGGTGGCCTATAGCGACATGATTTTCGCGATCATTATCGCCAGGCGTGTAACGGAGTCGGCGATGATGGTCCGCACCTGCTGTTCTCGATGATCGCGGCATCTTCGTACAGAAGACTTCCAGCAGTAGTCGTATCTTGATTCTCAGAGAAATGTAGGAGGCTTGCTTCGTTGCGGAAGGGCCTGGATTTAGCAGATGATGATATGCGGGAATGCTGATATGGTAGTTGTCAAGAGACCAAAATCGATGTCGTGACAATAGAAGGGTACAAGGACAAATTGCGGAAACAGGGTACTTTATGTAAAGGAAAAGAGCTGGAGACGTGACAGTTGCTTCAAGGAAATAATTCTGCGTGAAGTTGCGCGGTATGCGTGAAGCGACTCGCAGTATTGAAGTGTCGTCGCCGTGACAGAATAGCTAGATTTAATGCTGGTATACTAAAGAAAGAGGCGAAGGTGAATGCGCTCAGCACACAGCACGCGCAAAGATTATGATACTGTTCTACACGTAGGAACCAACAGCTAACAAGGGGTATACAACAGCTGCGAATGTCTAATGACGTGGATGAAAGGCGCAAACAGCATTGCGAACGCATGAGGAGATGATACATTCGCCACGTTGTACCTACAAAACAATGTCTATGAAGCTTGACAACAGAGCCGCGAAGGGCTTAAACCATATCTGGGTATACCGTGCATGATGCCCTTGTAGTAATGCGCCGTACAGAAGAAGAAGAAGTGAAGCGCCAAAAGTCTAAAACGAAACCTAAACTGAACTCCACCCGGCCTTCAGCCGTACAAGGACCGATGATCGCTAATGAACTAAACACGTTGAACCTTAGGCCGTGAAAAGGAAATCATGACTCTAGAAAGATTACAAGATTGTAAAGGGGAGTCGTAGCACCGTGAAGTCGGTACCACCACGTGTTAAATGCCAAGCTCCATGTCGCAGGATAGCCGGGCGCCATCATTTTGCTGTGCCGAACGCCCAATGTAAAACACTTTTAGTTACCGACCCGTTCGGAAACACGGCCGCGCTCAATCTGCTCCACGCGACCTTTGGAGTCGGTGCGCTTCATGCGAGATCGAGCTAACGCAGCTGCGGCTTCCTCGTGTTCCCTAGCCAAACGTCTGAGGGCGATCTTGGCTTCTTCAAGAGGTATGCTGTCGCTGCGCTTGGGGCTGCTCTGTCTTGAAGGGCGTTGGCTAGTCGGGTTTGATGTAGGAGTCGGAGGCTGGTAGCGGAAGCTGTTGGCCCTTGTGCTAGCAACGCTGAAGCCGTTCTTGGTGCTACCAGGACGGCTAGTGCGATACTCAGTGCTTACTGACTCTTGGCTGCGGTTGTCGGCATCGCGAGCGGGAGAGTTCTTTCGGGACCGAACATAGTTGGGATCGTCGCGCTTGATCATGTGACGGAACTGCTGTGTTTGCTGATCGAAGACCCAACGTTGATAGCCCGCGGCGCCATTTGCGTTCCCAGGAATGAAGGTGTCGTGTTCGTCCCAGCACTTGACCCAAGCCACGTCGTCGACCCGGAAGAAGCCGGCTTGTACTTCTTTGCCTTTGTCGTTCTTGATCATGACAGTCTTCTTGCGCTTGTTGAACTCGGGCTCTAGGAAATAACGACCAATGGCATGGGAGTATTTCAGGGGAACAGGACGGTCCAGGGGAACGTACACTCTGCCAGTTGATGACTTGATGTATGAACTGGGGTGGCCTTCTGGCTTGGAATCGTCCTTGAGAGTTGCGATCAGAAACCAGCCTCGTCCGGGGATACTCTCGTACTGGCCGGGTACTGGGCTGGTCCACTCTTCAACGACCTTGGATGACTGCTCTGCCTTGTTCGACTTGAACCACTTGTGGGGCGCAAAGGCCTTTTGAGTGGCTATGAAGAGGTTGGGCGCCATGTCGATGGTTTTCGAATAACGTTTGATAAAACTCCTCTGGTCACTGTCGGTGATGTCCTCCGGGGACAGTCGGCAGTGGTGGTGGGTCTGAGATTCCGGGGGTGGCAAGTACTCCGGAAAGTTCTTGAAGCAGAGTCTGCCGTCGGGTAAAGCACGTGGTCGTGATCGTCAGTGGCAAGGTTGGATGCTGCGAGGTTCCGCTTGAACAGAGGCGAGTTGGTAGACGAGGTATGGAAATCCGGTACTTCAGGAGTGTGTTGTGAAAGTGACTAGCCGAAGACCGCCGGTCACTGCGTGCAGGTGCACGACTGTGTCGCTATGAGGAGCGAGGCAAGCCTTCGACGAGCGTGGTTCACTGAGTGCGCGTGAAAGGAGGAATCTCGAAACAAAGACGCTGGGGTGTCGAAATATTTAAAAGACGGGAGCTAATTTAGTGCTGGGTCTGAAAATCTTTCCCAGGCTGACGGAAGGAAATTGGGATGCGCTTCGACCTACCGTGGGTACAAGTGTGGACCATGTACCGGGGAGCAATAGTCAGACATCTAAGGCCAATGCCAACGTGAGCACCGAGTCCTCGCACGCCGCCCCCGAGCGTATCGGACCCTCAGTAAAACGGGCCTCATCAGAAATTCGTCATGACACACTGCCTCAATCAGCTCTTCTCAGCGGTACACGTTCCCGGTTCTTTCCTGTCGCGCGCCCACGGATCCGCTGATTGTCGTGGTGGCATGCCAGGCTCCGCATTCGTGCCTCCCTCGCAGCAGCCCACATGCGTTGATAGAGTGCCGCCCTGGGCCAATCACCTGGGGTGCCAGCCACTCGTGGACAGATAATGCCAGATAACGCGACGCAGCCAGGTCGATTGTCCAGCAGTCGCCTGGGAGGGTGAAATTGCAAGGGCAGGCACAGACTGAGGGCAGCTTCAGAGCGGTGTGATGCTGGGTTGAGGTGTGCGGATGCGAAAGGGACTGAGTGGACCGACAGGCGTTGCTAGATCGTGCGCGGAAGTTCCGTAAGCGTAGCCGGTAGCGAGGCGCTCAACATGTCCGCCGTCGATGGAACCAGCACCAGCACCAGGAACCATGACAAAACAACGGACTCGGAGCCCCGGGTCGCCTGAAGCAACAAAGAGCTCTCTTCTAAGCAGCTTGCATGTTTCGACAATCTGATGCGTGCGTCAAAGCAGAGTAAGCGCCAGCCTGCGCAATTCAACCTTCCTCAGATCGCCTTCCCCGTACTTGCAACATTCGCTCCGATTCTCCAACTTCGTGAAACATTCCATCTCCACACCCATGCCAGACAAGCAAATAGACAGCCAAAACCCTGCCTACGACGCCCTCTGCCACGCGACAAATACCGGCCTTCCTTTGAGCCCACGCGGCGCCTCACTTGCTTCTACGCGGCTGCACCCAGCGTACGTGCGACGGCGCCAAGAAGCAACCATGGCTCTTGCGCTGCCCCTTTGTGACTCGTACGGCTGGTCATACGGCTTTACTATCAGACTCCTTATCAATGTGCGTCGAGTTCACTCATCAATCTGATGGCGGTGAGTAGGTTGAGGAGTGGACATGGCTTGCGGCTGCGTATCTTCCGAGCAGGCGACGCGCTGAGTTGGTGTGCGCATGCGGAAACGTGCCCGTCAGCGATGTTGATGCTTAGGCAGCTCAAGCAATTGACCAAAATAACCGGTAGTATTTCATCCAAGAGGCATCTGCATAGTGCTAGCATGCAGGTTCGATGTTGCTTGTCGATGACATGAATGCGAAGTCGACGTCAAGGTATACTGGTCGCCGGTAAAAGGCTTCTGCGATAAAAGTCTAGCTGAATATTGCAACCCACTCAACACCATGGATGCAGTACCATTAGCTGAAAGAAGTACAGCTCGCAAGACTGAGCAACAAGCGGCGCGGCATATTTTACCGCAAGCTTTAGTCGTGATCTCGATAGCCATGACCTGATCTGTGGCATGTGAAGAAGATCAGCCTGATTGATGCGCATTCGATGCTTGGCGCAGAGTACATGCAGCATCCAAGGCACTCTACGGACGATACCGCAACACATACGTTTGTTCTGCGCGGCCGGCAGTTTGGGTTGCGAAATCAAAGCGGCTCTGCAGTTAGTCTAAGATCAAAAAGCATCACATCATACGTCATCGAGGAGATCCTGATTTGGCTCGTTTTTTCATTGCATTCCTACTGCTCCTGTCCCTTGATATCTTTGGTCATTCCGCAGTAACATGTCGCAATGCTTTTTGAAGTGCATGCCTCTCCCCATACCGTATCGAAGGGTACCGTGAGCCGAAGAGGATGAAAAGCCTTCCCATTGAGATCGTAACTAATCAGAGAGACGCCTTGTATGCCCCGCCCCAAAGTGAAAATCCGCACGCATCTACGACTCGGTCTTGACGCGGGCCTTGCCGTTGGTAACCTTGACACCGATCTGCTTCGCCCTGGCGATGATTTCGATGCGCTTTCGTGCTGATACAGCGTGGGCGATCCTGAAGGATTCATTAGTATGTAGGATGGTGGAACGGAAGCTGGCGAACGTACTCTGCGGCGAAGGTCTGGTTGTGCATGAGGAGGAGGTCAACATCGGAGACTGCATCCGTTAGCGGGATCCTGGGGTGGTGTCGAACTCGATGGGTAGCATACCGTTGTTGACGACGAAAGCCTTGTGGCCGCTGGGCATCATGTGGCGGGTCTTCCTGTTGGAGCCGTATCCGATCTGTGAGGCGTTCCGTCAGCCCTGGTCCATCAAGCATTCCGTGTCCGCTCAGTGTCCTCTCGGTGACAAGATTCTTCTTCCGTCCGGGTAGTTGGTAGTCCGTACCTTGGGCATAGCAGCCTGGCCCTTGAACCGCCTGCGGACGCGGTTGTCGATACCCTTAGGCTTGCGCCATGAGGGGTCGACGCCTGTCCAGTGTCAGATGCCAATTCCTTCACTTCCAGCTCCGGTGTCTCTTACACATAAAGCGGTCCGACTGGTGGCGGTTGAAGCGCTTGCGGTCTGTAAACGGATACGTCAGTCGCGAGTTTTCGAGGTCATGGAGGCAGATTCGGCGTACGCTTCTTGACGATCGGGACATGCTTCTTAGCGGCGACCATCTGGGATATCGTCAGTACAGTAACAGCAGTCCGCCTCGGTATACGCACTTTGACTGCTGTGTGGTTAGTTGTCGATGTGGTGTCGTCAAAAGTTGGCGTTGATGGATTTTGCGAAGGCGCCGCAGCTCAGTGGACACGCTAGTGGCACCTCGCTTACGCTGGCCCTAGCCACACCAAGAGCGCAGCGACCACCACCAACCTTCCTCGCCGAACAACAACGGACGCGACGAACAGTGGTTATGTACAGTGTCCGCGGCAGCAATGCAAATGTCTTTGGACTCGACTGCACGACCTGCGCGCATCTTATACTTAGCGGCATCTTGTTTCTTCGCCTGCCCTGCGTTGCTGTCGACGGTCACTTGTTCCTGTGTGTAATCACCCAGCACAAACGAAACAAAATAGATGGCGCACGGTGATGTATCATGCTGAGCTAGTCTATTTACTAGAAGATGCTCAAAGTGCTGTAAATCTGGCCATGGTATGGAATGCTCCCGTGAATCTCGTAACATGCATCAAGTAAACCCGCCTTCTGATGAGCAAAACGCCGGCAGCTGCTATAGCAGCAAAGCATGTCCTCTACCATAACTCCCCGCTAGTTTCATAGACCGTCTTGACCCAGATCAATAGTAGTCTTCGTCCATCGGCTGCTCTCCCGTGTCACCCCGCTTCTCCTTCTTGACGAACTCGACAAAGTCGTCAATGACAGACGGCCATGAAGACTCCTCGTTCCAGAAGCCCATGGTCTCATCTTCCAGCGAGAGCTGCGCGAACTTGAGTGTCTCGTTCCACATGTCCTTGTTGACGCTCTTCTTCCACGACGTATTGAGGAACTCAGTCCACCAAGTAAGCCACGGAGTGTTGGGACTTGACCACTGAACAGCAGACAAGGGCGAACTGAAGAGCAACTCCCAGTACACGGTGGCCATCTCGAGTGGAACAGCCCTCTGGTCCGCAGTCTTGGCGATGGTGAATGTGTACTTGTACACCCGGGTGAAGACGTCTTTGTTGCCCGAGAGCTCGCTCTTGAGAATCCTGAGATACGACTTCTGCTTGTCGATGGTATCACAGCTGCATTTGCATTAGGTTCTAAACGACCTCGAAGACAACCTGAAAAATAGTGGCACTTACTGGCGCTCCAACCAACCCTTGACGAAGCCATCGCGGCTCATCTCGCCCATGGTAGGGGCCTGGACGATTTCAAGAGCCGCCAACGCATCTAGGCCCTCGGCATTGACGCCAGTATGATCGAAATACTGCATCGTGCCTTCTACTCCGACGATGTCTTTGTCTGGTGCACCAGCCTCTTGGTACCGATCGAACAGCTTGTTGAGATTGGTCTTCATCGCAGATGAGCCTTGGGAACCGCCGCTGTTGCTGCTGCTGTAGTAACTGCGTGACTTGTCAGTCTTTGTCAATGTATTTGATGAGTTGCCAGTTGGCCGTTGCAACGAAAAGCTCGTCATGAGTTACTTGTAGTCCAGGCATATCGTAAAGGTACACGTGATACTGATAATTCTTCAGTGATATGGGAGGATTGAGCTGCACAAACAGTTTCGCAGTAACGAACAGATGCACTGTGTCGATAGGTGACGACGTGGCATCGCTCAGCACGGGCACTTCATCAGCCCCTGCCACCAATTTTATTCTTTCGATGATGATGCGGCAGAATTTGGTCCTGCCATCACGTCCCAGACCATGGAAGAAGGCCAGACGCGCCAACTTCCATTTTTCGAAAGCGGGAGCTGGGATCGTTTTGTGGTTGATCAACGGGAGGAGGCTGAAGAGCTTGGCGAACACACTCCGATTCGCAAGTGATAGTGATTGGATAAACGTGTTGTAGTTTACGCCTACGGTTATGGGCAAATGCTCAATGGCCTGTGCGATTGTCGGCCATATTTGGGTGATCCCGATGGACTCGAACCAAAGAGTCTCTTGTTTGCAGGAGTCCACATAGGAAGCATAGTCCATGGGAGCCATACATTTCAAGTAATGGCTCCCGAGAGCCCAGAGCGCAGCTTGTCCTGGGGTGTCTGAAGCTTGGGGACTGCGTCTTCCTGAGATGTCATGCTCGCTGTAGTCGTTGCCGTAGCCCCCAGAGCCGATGTAGTTGCCAGAACCACCGCGCAACGACACAGTCGGCTCTGAACCTAGGTGATGATCAGAGACGGAGGTGCGAAGTGAAGGCACTGTGGTAGTGTGCAAGAGCGCCAGCAGCTCCTCGAGTATAGTTTCCGGCAAGCATGTACTTGGAAGGGGAGTTGTGATACTGCGCGGATGTTGTATGATGACCGAGTCTGTTCCCAGACTGCCGTATCGGATATGACGGGCTAGCGCGAACTGACTTTCTGGTGCGTTGGTAAAGTTGGTAAGACTGAGACTGCTATGTAGCACGCGGCTTAGGTGTTCCGCTTGGACTCGATGTTGCTCCGTCTGTAAACAGTCCAAACCCTCAACCAGGTGTGGTACGGCATGCGGTCGGAAAGCTCCCTGAACTGTGTAGGTCTCGATACTGGACTTGGTGGAATCGGAGGAAGCAGCGGTCTTGCCAGAAGAGAGGCGTTCGTCGTCGGCGGTGTTGATTGTGCTGACTGCGTGTACTTGGGCGGGTTGGAAGTCCCTCAGATGAGAAGTTCGACTTGAAAGGCTCATAGACCGAGAGCTAGAGCATGAGCTGATGGAACTGATGCGTTCTCGTCTGTTACGCCCGGCTAGCTGCCTAGCCCTGTCCTGTGAGGAACCGAACATGACGGCTGTGGGGATAGCGCACGACTGAGCTGACCTGGCGAGTGGATATGGCGTGTGTTTGGACGACTGCACCGAGGGAGGCGTGTCGGGGGCTTTGTTGTGGGCGAGAAAATGCCGCAGGAGAAGGCGTGCTAATGTGCCAGCGTTTCGGAGGCGAGGAAGTAAGACCATTTTGGACTGCAGGAGCAGGAGCTTTACAATGGCGTTGTGTTCTTGGAAGTCACAGCTGCATGTGCCCGCAGACCGCAGCTGCTTTGAACTCGATCTGTCACCATGACTTGCAGCTTCTTGCGCGACTTGATCCCTCGTGCTTCCTTGTCCGTGACATGATACTATCACAGCTCCCAGAAGTATCGTGTTGCCCCTTCCCAGATATGTATCCGCAAGTATGTCCGTCTTGTGTTCGGGTGCCAGTCGGGTGGTTGGTCGGTCGGTCGCTGCGTCGATTGGAATGGATGACGGGATTCGTGCGTAGATATAACAAGCATGCAACAAATATGTACTGTATATATGAACAATAAAGAAAAAGCTGTACTTACGCGTTCACGGCGTTCTGTGCATCCCAGCCATGGCTTTTGAGTGTCCTGACCGCGGTGGACTTGTCAAGTTGAGTAAAGCTGATGAACTGCTGGATTGCAGCTTTCTGCTGAGCAGTGTATACTGTAGGCATACTGTATTAGCGCCTTGTATCGAACTCCAGCTATTGACTGCGAGCTCGATGTGAGGAAGCGGCGGGGTGGAGGGGTGGAGGGCGGGCGCAAGTCGGTGCGCAGAATTTGGTGATAGGGAATGAGTGCAGTGTTGAGAGACAAAGAATCGCGCAAAGTGAATTAACAGATTGGGTGCGCGTCTTGGTCGCCGAACCGTGGTGGACAATAGACAGAGTTGGCGATACTTGGGCGAGCTGTGACGCACCGACGAGGCAGCAATTGTAGGGCCGACCCCGCCGAGTCGACTCAACCCTTGCTCGTGCACCCAAGCCCCGGAATTAAGGCCGCGGCGACAAGCTAGCCTTGCATCTTGCAAGCTTGACATGCATCGCCGCCAAACCAATGACGGATAATTATGAATGAAAGGAGGAAACCGTTGACTTACCTTCGGGGGCTGCCTTTGCTCCTTTCTTGGGAGCCTTGGTCTTCTTTTCTGGACGGTCCATAGCGGCGGCGTTGTCTGTGTTTTTGCGCTTGGGCGGCATGGAGGATGCGGAGTAGTCTTCTTGGGTACCGTCGAGGGAGTCGCGTGGACGTTGAGGCGATTCAGCGTGGTGTTGAGGACTGTGACTTGGGATGCTGGGGACAGGCGAACTTTGCTCTGGTCGACAAGGAAGCTCGTGCGTCTCCTTAATACCTGTGCGCTTGCTGCTACAGCAAAGAAACCGACGGAGCAGGTCGCAAAAGACCATCACCAGTCCGCTTGCTCTCACTGGTAGATATTGCTGACGTGCGCGGGTAGCTAGTGCCTTCCTAATACAGGCGCGGGCAAAATGCTCGCAGTGAATGTGCAATGCAGAAAATCTATGGTGACCTTTGGTTAAGGTGCGGGTCCAACCAAGTTCAGGAGTGCATGCGCAAAGGAGGCGCGACGAAGTGACATGGAGCAACATCGGTTTGTCGACCTACTAGTCGCGTCGCAAAAGTGACGCGGCATCATGTGTTCGCCGTCTGCCTAGGGCAAACATGCACTTCTCAACGGTAACTATGCACCTGCCATCCCAACTCTATAGTAGAAGCCTACATGGCCTTAGGACTTGTTCCTGTTGAGTTTCATACTAACGTAGACTGACTGCAGCGCACCAGCTTGATATCTTCTTTAATTATTTCCTAGTATACAGCCAGTGTTTGCGACTGCCTCCTACATGATCATCACGAACACCACACGCTGAGCTGCACCTGATAGTAATGGTTTCATGCCCATTGCCACGGGGGAACGCCAGACACATCTCTGATGCTCAATTCCAGGGTATACCTATGACAAACATCCAACGCCTATATCTTCACAATGTCAACACGCGTCCGTTCCCAGAGCTTGTGCGCGACTGCAACCCCTTTCTCCCTTTCTGCGTCACTGACGACAGCTGGTTGTATTATGACGCGGGCATATGTCCCTGCCGCGCGCCGTTTGGCTAAAGTGCCAGGGTTGACGACCAGTACAGACTCCACGACCTGGTCAGGGTTAGTATATCGTTCTCTAGTGGGCGAGCCATCTTAGCATACCTTGACTGTGCCTTGAAGCACGCTGGGAGTTATGAGTATGTC